TCTGGTTACACTTCACAATAGGTCTGTGTGTTGACACTGTGAAGGGAAATGTGTGTAGGACGGGTGCCAATTTTTGTTTGATTCAGTTTTCTCCTGTTTTTGTAATCTAGGGAGGTAAGATGAATGTAATTTGTTTGTTTTGTTTTGATGGACAGGACAGCAGTTACTCAGAAAGTTAGTCTTTTTGTTTGTTGTTTTGGCTGAAGCCCAGTCTGAAGCTAATTGCTACCGTTTTCCCTTTTATTACTTCAGTGTTTTATTCTGGCCATGAGTAACTGTTAAGGCACCACATATAATGTTTTTCTTTTCTCTTTATTTACTGATATGTTTATCGACATATATTGTTTGCCTATATAGTTTTCTTTTTTTCTCTTTTCACATATATCTTTTATTATTAATTTCGTTTGATTTTGTTTATTCATTTGATTTGACTCAGTCCTTTATTTTTGACTGAGCACCAGGAGATGTTTAAGTGTCACGGCTCTGAGGACTTCTTTCTTTCTTTTTATTTTTTTCTTCTGTTGACTAAAGAAGAGAGATGACGTTAACACCTCATACAAGTAGTTACATACCTCACAGAACATTACCRCTCGGACACTTGAAGCATGCTGTTACTCATCAGCACTGTATAAACATAATGATAAAGTTCGTTTTTCATGCATGGTATTGAAACTTGTCATTTTTTTTGCAAGATACTGGTGTGGTGTTTTCTGTGTTTCCAGGAGGACACCAGGCTGATTCTGTTACATGGACTTTGGACTCAGATTCTTGGACAGGACTCATAAATCTGTACAGCATCGGCAGTACATAGGACTTGGACTCTGAGTTGTGTTGGCTCAAACATTTTTGCCACAGAACATGACTGAATCCAGACACCATGGGTGACAGAAAACAAAAACTTCTGTCGTTAAGAGCTCTTATAATCATCTTTATGTGTTTATCGTTTTGGTTTTTATTCCTTATATCATGTTGTTTGATGTGACAATCATTTACTTTGTGTTACTTATTTATTTTGACTGTCATATTATGATCATCTTATGTAGTGAGCTGAGTTTCATAGAAATATCTAACTCACTTTGTGTTTATGCATGACTCATGTTACATTTGTCCTTAAAGTGTAACTTACCCCCCCCC